TCTTGGCAGTCTTATGTTTTGGATGTGCATCCCTTCAATCCTCGAATTGCTATGAGTGCTGGGTATGATGGGCAAACAATAGTTTGGGATGTGAGTTTCGGTTTAATTCCCTAACTTTTTCCAGTTCTCTTTTCTGTTGCATTGTTCTCCTAATGCTCATTGTTTCATAAGTTGTTTCTTTTTGTGTTTCTAGATATGGGAGGGCGTGCCTATTAAGATATACGAACTTGGACATGTAAAATTGGTTGATGGGAAGTTTTCGGCGTAAGTGAGCTGTACAATAGCTAATTATGTTTAATCTTATTTTCTCATTTTATAGTTAAACTGAAAATTTCAACCATAATACTCTTTGTGGAGGTTTACTTATGTAAGGAGAGACAGAAGCTAGTTGCCTTGATACTACCTCACAGCTCTTCAATATCTCACCCTCTCTTCTTCCCATTTTCAGAAAGATGAATTTATGTTTACTACCATCATTTTTGTTTCATGTATATTGATTTAATTAATCACTAAAATGCTTGACCTTTTTCTGCTAATATTTGAGACATTTTCTCTTTGTTACATAGGGATGGTACATCAATAGTACTTTCAGATGACGTTGGCCAAATATATTTAATAAACACAGGTGAAGGTGAGTCTCAAAAAGATGCTGAATATGATCAGGTATTGTAAGAATTTGTTTTGTAGGTTTGTCCTTTCCCCTATTTGATTCCAATTTGAAGTTGTGAAACTCCTCGATGATGGCTGTTTGTGTGATTCTTCTACAGTTCTTCCTTGGGGATTATCGCCCCCTTGCACGGGATGAGTTTGGATACCTTATTGATCAGGTTAAATCTTCTCACTACCCGCTTGTCACTACTAAATTGTTCTGTAGCGAATTTTATTCCATGTCTGCAGTTAGCATCAACTTGCACGTTAAGAAATTGAATCGATATCATATAACTTTTAATTTTGGAAAATATTATCCATGTTGCAGGAGACACAACTTTCCACTTACCGAAGGAATCTTCAAGATCCTCTATGTGATTCAAGTATGTTTCTGGCTCCTACTGGATGGGATTCTTAATTTATTATTAGTATTCACAATATTTTCTCATAATCATATATTGATTGGAAACAATAGGTATGATACCATACCCGGAACCTTATCAGAGTACATACCAGCAACGACGACTTGGTGCTCTGGGCATGGAATGGCGTCCATCATCCATGAAATTTTCTGTTGGTGTGGATATCAATACAGGCCAGGATTATATGATGCCACCTTTGCCAGATCTGGAAAGAATGATTGAACCACTACCAGATTTTATTGATGCCATGTTGTGGGAACCAGAAAATGAGGTTGTAAGTGAAGATACTGATTCGGAGTATAATGTTACTGATGAAAATTCCAGTGAAGGGGAGAAAGGGAATATTAGCACCAGTTCTTCTAGTGATCCAGACTGCAGCGAAGAAGACGGTGAAGCTGGATGCAGTCATAAGGACAGCCTTCGTCGATCAAGGAGACAAAGACCAAAGGTAAAAATTATCTCCTTATCTATAGATTCTGTACTAGTTTTTGTTTCTGTACAACCTCCTTCGATTGAATTTTAATGATCTTTAGGTTGAGTCTTCCGAGAGGCGTGTCAAGAAAAGGAGAGTGGGTGAGCATGATCGCGTTATATCTGGGAATAACAGAACTAAAATTCCAAAAGGTGGCCGGAAAGTTTCGAAGTGGAAGTCTTCTACTGCAAAGACATTGAGACCCCAGCGACTCGCAGCACGCAATGCTCGAACTGTGTTTTCTCAGAACCCTGAAACATCTACGGAAGGAGAAGAAGATGCCTGGGAAGATGATTCATCAAATAGTGAGTCACTTCAGCAAGAATTCCACACTCAAAGTAGTGATGGGGACTTCCAGATAATGCAGCAAAAACATGGTAAAGAAGAACCACCTCTACATGAATTTGGCGATATAGCCCAGCCTCTTGTAGTTTCTTCGTCTCAGTCAAACGTCAGAAGGATGCCGAAATTGGTTTTTAAGATTAAGAAGCAAGAGGCTCCAAAGGATGTAAAACTCAAAGACAACAATCAGGCTGATTTTGTGTCTTCATCTTCTAGATGTCAAGATGCCACTCCAGATAACCGGATTATTAACAGCTCTGTGGATCCAGATTCCTCTTTGGTCAATGTGCTTGATCTGAAGTTTTCAAGAAATCTCTTGGACAATGATTTGACAGATACTGGGCAAACTGTAAAGACTGGGAATTCTCTGGAAGCATCCGCAAGTTACCAGGATAGCAGAGTCAGATTGAGCGAGGTCAAGGTGCGCACACCAAAGCATACAAAATCAGTAGACCCCATACCAATAGATGTAGCCACTGGGTCGCTTGCTAGTTTTAATGCACATATAGAAGAGATGAATAATGTCCATCGGTATGTTAATCCCGAGAGTGATTGTGAACAGTTTTGTAATCATTCAAAAATTAAGGGAAAGGAAAATTATGGAGGTGTCTTGCCTTGCAGGGATGAGGAACATACTGGAACACGTGCATTTGAGGATCTGGATGGTCTCAGAAGTAGAGGGCTTTCTCATACTGATGAGGACCTTGTATCTTCATCATTTGATTCCTCAGCTTTGGGCAAGCACAAACAAAAGGGAATTGAGGGCTCTCTGGAGAGAGAGGAGTTTACTAGGAGAAAGCACTCTGGTGAATCAAGGGATAATGCTTCTCTTAAATTTCCTGCAGAAAACTTAACAAGTTCTAGAGATTTAATCCCCGACGATTCTTCGAGCATGGATCCAAATTCAGATTTGGGGGTACTGAAAGTGGGTGAAGGTGCTGGCAGATCAACTTCTTTGAAGTTTGTTTGCAAGCCCAGGATTAATTCAGAAGGTTCTGGTGGTAATGTGGAAGAATATGCAACAAATATCAACGACCATCATGATTCAGGAATGGATCTCCCCGCAGCTGCAACCAATGCAATACGTGGAACAAGAACCTTAAAGATCAAAGAAACTTCACGGAAGGTGGACACTATGAGCCATAGCCCTAAGTTGAGGTGGGGCCATCAAACAGTGGGGACATCAAAAGATGCAGAAGACTCCTCTGCCAAATTGCGCGACCAGATTCATCAAAGATCAAGGTCTACGAGAAGTCGTCAGGGTTCGTGTACCGATTATGGCCAAAGTTCTTCAACACGAAGCATGTTAGTTAACCCCGCTGGAAAGTTACCATGGCTGATGTTGTCGAAACATGAGGATGGTTACCGTTACATTCCTCAGCTTGGTGATGAAGTTGTATACCTGAGACAGGTAATTTCTTAAATCTTTGATTTATGGTTTCTGGTCCTTTGGTTCTGATTTATGCTTGAGAATTTACTGTTTGATCATTAATATATGGGCTTGTGATTATTAGGGCCATCAAGAGTATCTAAAACTAGTCAAGAATTCAGAAGAGGGTCCGTGGGAATCAATTAAGGAAAACATCAAAGTTGCGGAAGTTTGCAAGGTTGAAAGCCTCGAATATGCTTCGCTGCCTGGTTCTGGGGAGAGTTGCTGTAAAATCAAACTTAAATTTGTAGACCCTTCTTCTGCTATCTTTGGTAAAGCATTGAAGTTGACTTTGCCTGAAATTGATTTTAATGATTTCATTGTTGAGAAAACGTGGTATGATGCTTCTATTGGAAGAAACTGGACCACTAGGGAGGAATGCGCCGTTTGGTGGAGGGATTCAATTTCAGATGGAGGTGGGACTTGGTGGGTAGGTCAAATTATTCGTTGTCAGCCCAAGTCACATGAGTTTCCCGACAGCCCTTGGTTAAGATATGAGGTTCGGTACGAGAATGATGATGAAACCCATTTGCACTGTCCTTGGGAATTGCGAGAACCGTCCATAGTAGATGATCCATCCTCGTGTGAACAGCCCCATATTGATTCTGAAAGCAAAGAGAAGCTGCTGCGTAATTTTTATAAATTACAACAGAAGGTTTGTGCAAATATTTTAGTATACCTGTCTTGTTATTTTGTGGGAATTGGAATTTAAAGCTCCAATTATCATTGAGAAAGACGTAAGCATTCTGAAACTGTTTTCTTCATCAAGGATATTAATTAATTGTGCCGTGTATGATGCAGGACTTCCAAACAATCCAACAATTGAATCAAGCTGTTCAGAAGGCGGATTTCTGCAACAGGTAAGAAATACTATTATCTCGTTTAACCATATTCCTGTGCGAGACCATTTATAGGAACTTTCCTATCCATTTGAGTTCTGATAAGTTTCCTTGAAAGTAGAAAGAATGCGCGGAAAGTCGCAACATAGTTACCTGCTTATCATCGATCTTGGCAAAAACTAAGATTTGAGAAAATAACGATGTCTTTGGTTTGTAAATATTTTGCAGCTTCCCAGTGCAATTGTACCCTGAACTAATCCAGTCGAGGTTAGAGAACGACTATTATAGAAGCTTGGACGCTGTGAAGCATGATATAACGGTTATGCTGACAAATGCCCAGTATTACTTCAAGAGAAATCAATTGCAAGCGCGGATTAGGCACATCTCAAAGAGGTTTAAGAAGAAACTGTCAAAGTTGTAGAGGTTTTATGTCAGTTGTTTGGCAAAAGAAAGAATTTTACTATTACAACTTTAGAACCACAGAAGAAAAAATAGGAGAATTTTGCTATATTCTTCTCTCAAACAATCCCCCATTTTATATCATTTTTGCTTTGCAATTTATAAATCTAAATTCTTAGTATTTCTTATAGTATTTTGAAAAGCAGATAAAGTACTCTCGCTAGACTTTCTGTCTTTTCACGTTTTTGATATAATGGTTTATAATGTTGTACGACAATTGTGCAAAAAACATGAGGTAACAGAGAGTTTACAAAGTATCTTATTTTTAAGAGAGTTTAGACTCTAGTGTTGTCGATTTGTTTAATTGATATGAATTAAACGACCTCTGATTAGATTATTTTTCATAGATAATGTTTAAATATAAATAAACCATAATGTACAAAGTATCCGCGTCTAAAACTAAAATTTCCACGAAAACATTACACTCCCATTATTGCCCTTATCGGTGGCCCTGTTTCTTATCCCCTTCCAATTCCCACCGAACAAAACCCTAAACCCTTCTCTGAAACTCTGCGAGTGTTTGGGGTTCGCAATTGGCATCAATGGCGGGAGGCAAAGCGAAGAAAGAGAAGGCGAGGCCAGCGGGGCACACGCCCTACCAAGGAGGCATATCATTCCACAAGTCCAAGGGACAGCACATCCTCAAGAATCCCTTGCTCGTCGACTCCATCGTCCAGAAGTCTGGCATCAAATCCACCGATGTCATCCTCGAGATCGGTCCCGGTACTGGTAATCTCACAAAGAAGCTTCTAGAAGCTGGTAAGAGGGTCATCGCCGTCGAGATTGACGCCCGCATGGTCCTCGAGCTGCAGCGCCGCTTCCAGGGCACCCCTCACTCCAACCGCTTGCAGGTACCGCTTCTTTTTCTTTTCTTTTTTCCGGAAAGAAGTTTCATTTACTGAGCATTTTTGTTTCTAATTTGAAAATCCAATATTGGGGTAATTGCAATTAGTGTTTGAATGAATATGAATCGATAAAGTTTTAAAATTCTGTTGTGGTTGATGTGTTGGGTGTGATGTGTTTTTGGGGATTTGCATCAATTTCTGTTCTCAAATGATAATTTAGAAAGAGGGTTTAATTGTATTTGCCAAGAAGAATATCTCAAATTCTGTTGTGCTTAATTTAAGAAATTATGTTGTATGATGATACGGTAAAATGTTGATGTATTTTGGGGATTTCGAATCGAATAAAAATAGGGGTTTGTTTGCTGTTGTGCACACAGGTGATTCAAGGAGATGTGCTGAAGACTGAGCTTCCCTATTTTGATATATGTGTAGCAAACATCCCTTATCAAATTTCATCTCCCTTGACCTTCAAGTTATTGAAGCACCAACCGGCATTCCGATGTGCCATTATAATGTTTCAGAGGGAATTTGCAATGAGACTGGTTGCCCAACCTGGTGACAAGCTCTACTGTCGTCTTACCGTCAACACCCAACTATTGTCACGGGTCTCCCACCTCCTCAAAGTTGGAAGGAACAATTTTCGCCCTCCGCCTAAGGTGGATTCTTCTGTGGTGCGAATTGAGCCCAGGAAACCGGCTTTACTAGTGAACCAAAAGGAGTGGGATGGGTTTTTGCGGATCTGTTTCAATAGGAAGAACAAAACCCTTGGCTCAATTTTTAGGCAGAAAAGTGTCATCAATTTGCTCGAGAAGAATTACAAGACCCTGCAGGCGCTTAATCCTGCAACAGCCCAGGAAGAGGATACTAATGATGTAATGGAGTTTATGGATGAGGACATGGAGATGGATGATGATGGAGTCGATGATGGAATGGAGATGGAGGTGGAGGATGGTAATGCGGAAGGGGAGGTATCCGAATTCAAGAAAAAGGTTCTGGACGTGTTGAAGAAGTCCGGTTTTGAAGGCGAAAGGTCCTCCAAGCTCAAATTACAGCAATTTCTAGACCTACTTTCCCAGTTCAACAAGGATGGTATACACTTCTCCTGATCTTAGGATCCAAGGATATATTTCTTGCAAGATTATTATACATTTTACCCAACCCAATTTTGTTAGGTTGCATCAAGTCTCTCTCGTCGGTTGGTTTAGTTTGAGATTATGTGTCGGATGCTTTTAAAATTTTCCTTTCCAATGTATGTGGATAATGAATCTCAAGTGAGACAATGCTGTAATGAGATTTCACGGTTTTTAATCGATTTTACGAATTAGTACAGAATCCATCACAGAACTTATCTTCGTGGCCGCATTGTGAGCCATAAGCTGTTTGCATTTCTCTTTTAATTTATGTCTACTATCGATGCGTCTCACTATGTCAAGCAATTGTGTCATGTTGAACGGTTTGCTGAAATGGTCGTCCATGCCAGCCTCCATCCTCCGGCTTCTTTCTTCGTTCGGTGAATGACCCGTTAATGCATTGATTTGAATGTGAAGATTATAAGGTTCCTCCTCTTAAGCAACGAAAAAAGTAACTGCGTCGACTGATTTCAAAAGTTGATAGAGAATACTATGCCATACTACACAATGCATGTCAAAACATAAGCACTTGAATGCTACAAAGGTAGCTATTGCTAAATCTAGTTCAAAACGGTCTATCTAAGACAGCAAAAGGTGCACCTCAATCACAAAGTGTTTTGAGGTTTAAACCAAAAAATAGAGGCAATCAAGTAAACTTTGTCTTCTTTGACTTTGGAGGAGGCTTCTCAAGGATTTCACCATCGTCTTCCGAAGAGTTTTCAACAAGTTCATCAGGGACGTCATTAGGAACATTGTGTCTGGTGATGAAGTCCTTCAATATCCTCATGCTTTCTTCTTTCACAGAAACAAGTTGCTCAGAAAGGATGCCCTTGTGCTCCTTGACAGAATATGTTTATGAACCGAGCTGAAAGTCCACCTTAATACTAGGCCTACAAGGGACTGCTTCTTGAATTTGAGCGTCCATCATACTGCAGAATGATTGATCCCAACAAGGAAATAGTTAGCGTTAAAGTTATAACCAATGACAGTAGAAAGGCATTGACTGAACAATTTCTCTCACTGTCCTGTATCAGAAGTTTCTCTACAGATGGTTAATTACTTCACGAAAGATGATGGTTGTATTCTGAAAAAGACACGAAACATGCACGACAAAAAAGGTTCCGAAAACCTTGTTGACAAACCAGATGACAAGAGGTTCACTTATGGTTCTTACTACGCTTCAACTAGTAGCCATAAAATGTTACAATCGCAGGCATCTTGCACTACATGAATGAAGACAGATAGCAATACGACTATACGAGGATAAATTCAAACAGCAACAGTGTAATGATTCTGCCTTGCACAATTACATCTTGATAGTGATTCTTTGCTTGCGTTATTGAGGTGGAGTTCCAAAGGGAAAACTAAACAAACAAACTATAAGATTAACATACTGATTACGGACTAATCGAACACGTCCCCAAATCTTCCATTGTTCTAGACCATATCCATATCCCCAACCAATTTCCCTACTGAAAAACGTAAAATCACATTCGAATTCTTGCCCTTTTCTCAGAGCTCACAAGTTAAAAACCAAGGTAGCACTAGCAGTGAAGACGTTACAGGAAAAATTTCACAACAATTGACTGCTCTGCTCTAACGAAATTCATAAGACAGTATAACTCCATGGATTTGGAAAATTTGACATTTGCAGACGAATTCCAGATCCGCGGCTATTGGGTTTTGCGCGGGTATTCCACTGAATGCAATATGAGCTCATATAAATATACATGCACAAATAATATGGCAGAGAGAGACTTTGTAATTTGAGATTCCAAACTCGTTACCTGAGAATAGATAGACGGCGACCGGAAGTCAAGTGTGAAGCTTTTGGAAGGTATGCTGCTAATCTCTCCCACTGCGAGCCCTAATTGTCAAATTCCGCCACTGACTCGACTGCCACAAATTCCCTTTAACTGTTTCAAAAATATTAGTATTTTATTTTACGTAAATACCCTTACTACCCGTGAAGACGTAAAAATACCGCTAACGCACAAGAGATTTATCAGTGTGATTGGCACACGAGTTAGTACATCATCCGTGTTTCCGTCACAATAAAAAAAATTTCCTAACGAACAATCCTTTCGATTTCCTTGAAAGAATGCTATGCCACAAGAAAGAGGAACCCGGAAGCCAACAGAATATTGACTACTCAATGTTTAACTCTTATGGAAGACAACCTTCGATGATAGCAGAACTCCAAATTTATGCTTAGTTCTAGCACAAGAAGAAGAGGAAGAGGATGATAGCAGAAGAAAAGGGAAAATTTGTCTATAAAAACCAAACTTTATATTAACCAAATGCTTCATCATATATAGTTATTTGGTTTTCCATTCCTAACATATTGTTTGCATCACATCGGACGCTCACGCTTAAAAACGGCGAGCTCATATACCATCGTACTCCTCTCTATTGTCTCTAACATTTTTCTTTTAATTTGTTTCTATCAATGCGTCTCGTTTTTTCAAGCAGTTGTTCCCTTTGAAACGGTTTGCTCAAACGATCGTCCATGCCAGCTTCCATCCTCCGGCTTCTTTCCTCTCCCGATGCGTGACCAGTCAATGCAATGATGGGAATGTGAAGATTATAAGGCTTCTCTTCTCTCCTTATTTGCCTTGTTGCTTCGAACCCATCCATTTCCGGCATCTGCAGTCTCATCACCAACCAAAAAGCACATCAACTTCATGAGTTTTGGTCCAGAACAAAAGGCAATAGGGAATTAAATTAAACGAATCGGAAACTATTTCAGCACACATTTTTCCTGCTTATGCACTCTTATACTTGTACCCTTGACTCTCTTTCGATTTATTCAACACAATTAATGTCGGAAAAAATAAGAGTAAAAGAGAACGGAGTCTTTTTAACCTCGACTAGCGAGGTGCATAGCAGTAATTAAAGCATTAATTATTAAACGATCGGATTATTAAATATTTAATTATTGATCAACCATGAGAAGTGAAATAGTTACCTCACAATCCATTAGTATATAATCGAATCCATGTTTCCCTTGATTCGCTAGAGCACCACGAACGAGATCAAGAGCTTCTCTTCCATTTCCACAAAGCTTCACAGTTGCACCCAGCCTTGTCAAATTAATTTGAGCTAGCTTGCGGTTCAATTCTATGTCATCAGCAACCAAAAATTTCTTTCCAATCAAGGGCCTGTTCGGATCGCTGACATGTTCTTGTGTTTGATCTCTAGGAGGAACTAGAATCTGTGAGTTTCTTGATGTGGAGGAGTCAACATGAGACAGATATTGGTGAGTCAGCGTTGGTGAAAATATTTTCTTGCCAGGTTTCTCATTACCTGAACTACCACCAATATTATTATGGTCTTGCGATACTTCAATTTCATCATCAGTTGAATGATCGAACTGATAATTATATGACCGATGTTGATGTGATATTGAGGAACTAGCAGGAGCTCTAGACGCTTTTCCAACCTGGTGTGGAAGCTGCTGAATTGTGGCCCTTCTCTTAGGTAATGCACCCCCAAACTCCGGAAGAAGTCTCACCACTTCGTATAGGCGGCTACCATGAAGCGCCTTGTGTTTGATTACATCCTCTGGATCAAACATATTACGATCATTCAAATTGATGCTATGACTTGCTAACCATACAACCCTGCACCAATTACAATTCCTAGTACTATTCTGGTGATGATCCGCTTTGAATTCAGTCACAATCTTACATAGTTCTGAAAAGGGTCCAGCTGTGGCATCAACCACTACTAACACAAACCCCGTTGCACCTCGAAGGCTCGTCTTTTTAAAGAGAGAAAGAGGGAGCATGTTGTTGTTGCTGCTGTTGTTTTCCGTTCCACTCCCGTCCATTGCGCTGATCAAAGGCACCTCGTTTACTCTGTTGCTAGAGTTGCATGACGTGGATTTGCTCAAGCAGTCCTGCAAACCCACCTCAGATATTCTTGAAGAGCTATGATGACAAGAATGGTAACCCCCCTTGTGTTTAGTTGCTTTCTCTAGAGTTTGAGAAAGTTGTTCCCATTGTTCTGCCACGAATACTTTTATCCCAAGGTTTTCCATGAATTTTTGGGAAATTCTGCGACGTTCTTCATTCTTAATCAACAAGACGACGGATGATCCTGATCCATCAACCTTAGGAGTACTACATGGGGTTCGCATGTTCAACCTGGGGCTTGGCGTGTGAATGCTCAATCCGGGAGTACTCGGAGTGTGAGTGACTAGTATCCCCAAATCACCTGGGCCAAATCCCATTTCAATGTCCACTTCTTTCGTGCTATCCTTCGAGACATTCTCACGTAAAGTTAATAGAACACTAAACCTAAAACATGTGCCTCTTTCGCCCATCTCCTTGTCCACAATTCCTATTTCTCCATGCATCAAACGTACCTGCAGCATTTCAAAAATTATCAACATGCATAAACTAAAATGGCATGTTCCCGAGAAATCATAATTCTAATGCGCAAGTAATATAATAACATAAATATACTTCAAAAACTAGATAAGTACATTATTTATTACTCAGCAATCTCCACCATGTACGACATCAACCAAAGAATCCCAGTGCAGAAGCTATATATAGTCATTTAAGATCCAGCACAAAACAAACTAAATTGCAGTCGAAGTTTCCACAAACCAAAGTAATATGCAGCCAAAAAAAAAAAAAAGTCGAAATTTCTTTTGTTGCAAATAATACATACAAGCCTCGACTTCAACTCAACCATCCTAGTCTTACCCATGATTCTGCCAAACAAAGATATTAGTGCGTGGGAAAATATAAACATAAAATTGATGCAATTTTGATTGCTTACCAGAGATTGAACAATGCCAAGTCCTAAGCCAGTGCCTCCTTCTCCAAGAGCCGTTTCTTTAACTTGGACATAGTTTTCAAACACTGATTTTTGCTTTTCCTTTGGAATTCCCTTCCCTGTATCATCCACCTCGAAAACAAATTCCAAGGCATTTGGGTCATGCTTCATTGTTCCCATGTCTGCTTGTGCCTTGTTGTTGTGGTTAAACAAGTACAACAATTGTCTTGCAACACCATTGCCCTTGCCAGAAGCAGCTATTGAGTTCTTAAAGCTGGGTTTTTCGACCCAAGCACGGACTGTGACATGTCCCTCCGAGGTAAATTTGACGGCATTGCTTACTAAGTTACATAATATCTGCTTAAGTCTTCCCCTGTCGCCTACCGCACACGGAAACTTAATTAGAGAGCCATTGTGAGGATCCAACACCACATCTATGCCTTTTTTCAAACCCACAGGATGATACAAGTCAACTACATCTTCAACAAGTTGCGCCACATCGAATTCCTCTTCTTCAAGTTGGATTTTCCCAGCTTCAATCTTACTCGTATCAAGAATAGAGTTCAATATACCAAAGAGATCTCTTGCACAAGTTTCCATCTGCCTTAAATTTGTCTCCAACTCGGAACCTGGGGAAACTTCTTCTTTAGATATGTCAATCAAACCTGTGATTCCGGCTAGAGCAGCACGAATGTCATGGCTTGCAGTAGCAAATGCAAGGCTCTTATTCATGCTCTTTCTCTCTGCTTGTTGGGTGGCCTCCATTTGCTTGATCAATGTATTACACAAATGCATCTCTCGTCTTCCCGAACTATGCATTACGAAAATATAACTGAAAACGAAGAAGCCCATAATACCAATCATTACAATGAGGAGGATGAATGCCACCTTGCAGTCCTTGAGAACAAGACTGATCAACCTAATTTGAGGGGAAGTCGGTAGAACATTATAAGCCTGAAACTCAATGAAAGGTTTACAGGTTTTAAATCATGTAGACATTTAATAAATCCATTAATGAATAATTGAGTTTTGAAAGTTAGTTTAATTAAGCTCACCTGTGCATTATGCTCGATATGCTTGATGATGCCGACCAATAAGCAAGCAAGCACCAGCACGCAAGTTGCCTGCATTGAGTTTTACTAGTTAAAATAACGTATACTTGCAATGAAGTGATAACAGTGAAATTAAGCTCGAAATTAATGTAGAATAATGAGAAGAAAGAATTACCTGCAAGACAAAGAAAACATGCCTCACAAGCACTTTCAATGAGTGGAGTTTCATCGGGTCTTCTTGGTCCTTAAGTACAAAGAACTGTATCATCCAAGTTGCCATAAAAAAATTCAAAAACTAGATTTTGACATACTTCACCAATATTTAAAGGGAATTTAGTGATATGCTTTTGACTTATATATACCTGAGAGACTTTATGTTTGAATATCGAGAATTTTGAGTTCAATAAACAAACAATGGAAGTATATTGTTGTATAAAAAAAGGAGTCCCGAGAATTAGTTTAATGTAACATAAAACAAATAATGTACGTTAGAACTCTTTAAAAAAAATTAGTGAATGTAAAACTAACCATACTACCATAGGTTAGTTTTTTTAACAAACCTCACAATGTAGAAGAGAGTGAGTAAAAACGGACTCCTCTTAAAAGACATAACAAAATTAGAGAATTCTTGAAAAAAAAATACACAAAATTAGAGAATAAAAGCTCATTTATTTATTAATGTTTTGTTATGCTATTAAATATAATCAAAAGTTTAAATCACATATCACTCATTAACAACTAGATATTATTTTACGTTATATTTTGAATAACAACTGTGGCACGCGAAATGCAGATTTTATGCATACATGTGGCAGACGTTCCATACATTCATTTGGCACGAAAGTTCAAAGTGCAAAGAAATGAGAATTAGATTAACCAGTTACAATACATGAAAATAAATTAAAAATTTAGTACGAACATACATAAATAAAAATAAAAAAATGAAAAAAACATGCAACTTTAATGTAAGAGGATTAACAAATTAATAACAACAACAAAATTGATGATGATTTTCTAGGTTTTGACCATTGAGTACAATAAATTGTCATATCATTGTTTGAGTTTCTTTGGTCTGTCGGTGAGATTCTGCAAGACCTACGCATCTCAAATCTAACTGACGAAACATCTTTTTTTGTTAGTTTTTCTTTCATTCCTTATTTTGCTTGAACTAGAGGAAACGTGATCAATACTGAAATCTAAAAGATAACATACCTCATATATAGATCATGATCATATGCATTATCTAGTGCATTCATTGGGACATAATGCTACACCCATAAATTCTTTGAAATCAAACAGAAGTTCGTCTAAAAATTTGAAAAAACCACAAACAAACAAACAATCCATCAAAAGGGGATGCTTTATTCATAAAACCAATGAATGAATTTTGTAAAATTAGAGAAAAGCTGTGAGAGAGAGAGAGAGAGAGAGAGTTTATATGATATGCAGAAAAACAAGAAAGACGAAATTAATGTGTGAGAGAGACCTGACGAAGTAGAAGAATACATATATGTGAGCCGCAGAAGGATGATGGGAGACAATATGCAGTCACTCAGTTTTGTTCATCTTCTTCTTGGAGTTAGGGCAAAACAATATTATCTTCTGATATGATGATATCTGAGTACTACTCCTGCTTCTTTGATAAAGATTTTTGTATAATTCAGTATCTTGAAGTAGATTTTGGGTATTAAATACTCAAGGGCATCATTCTCGCACTTCCTTTTTTAGCTTCTTGCATGCACCACGCCCAAAAATTCCCATCTAGGGTTCTTGCAGAATTGGGGTTTCATATATATGGTACCTTTTTTTCACTTACAACTATCTTATGTCGCGTGGTTTTGGATGCAGGTAGCACACAGAAATATGAGACTAGCAGTAAATCAATAAAACAGAAATTAAACACTTATTAAAAAGATATGATCTCTGTCGATCGACATATGGCATTAGGGCAGTGGGGACTCATGTTTTGGAACAGCACGTAGGTTCCATGCAGACCATGTATAAAGCAGCTTAATTCTGTTGCTAGCAAGGTATTAATAAAAAGACCAAAAGAAGAACTTGTTGATTAACTGAAAAACCAGCAAATAGTTTAATGTGTGCCAGCATATAGTTTAATTCCGCTGCAGTATTGGCTTAAAGTGAGCCAAAAAATCCTCATGACATAATCCTCATTAATTTGTTCTGTGATAAAAGGTTTAAGGCAAGAATTCTTTTCATATGTTTCCTATTCTATAAAATATATTTCCTATTTTCTTTTAAAAAAATTATATGTCCTATTAATTATATACTATATATTTCCTAGTTCTAACAACCAATACAAAATATATTAGGGGAATTTGCACAAACATTACCTAATTATTATGAGTTTGTGCTTTTGCCACCTAAACTAAAAGGTTTGTTCAATCACCGTCTAGACTTAGACTTTGGTGCCAATGTACCACATTTGATGATTTCTGTTGAATGTTACGTTAACAAAACCTTCTTCAAATAGGTGGGATTCAGTTTCAATCTTTTAAATTACCCCTCTTCCTCCCCAACTCCATTTTTCTCTCCTTTCCTCACTCATTCTCTCTGTCTCGGCCTTCTATAGTATATTTCCTTCCCTTCCCTTCTTTCAATTGTTTAAATAAATTTAAAGATTTTAATTAATGTTTTTTTAGATAGAAGTAGGCAAAACAGCTCTTAAACTTTATGCATAGTTGGCATAACATAATAGAGGTGACAATTTAGCACTGTAATGAATTTAACAAAAAAAATTTGATAAATGAGCACGCCCTTAAAAATTCATATGGTAGTTGTGCAAATTGTCCTGTATATTATATGATATGTTTATAAGAATAAAAAGTCATAAAAAATTAGCCTGGGAACAAAAGTTAACATATCGATTCTCCCTTTGTATACCACATAGTTGTCTCTCATCAGTAACAAATGCGTTTTCTAGTTTGATGCTTCTTGTTCCTTTGAATGGAGGAGAAGACTTCGGACTTTGACAATTTTGTTACCCCAAATCTTATTTTCTTGTTGGCATGAGCTCAAATTTGGCCGGAGACTTGTGTCTAAATTTTAAGTCTCCAGTGCATTGGAGGGATTTTGACTCATATTTAGACTTAAATATACCATTTGATTCCAAATTTTTCACTGCATTGGAGATGAACTTGTGTTTATCTTTAACAAATTAATTGCGGTGGGTTGTTCAAACTTGGAACCTCCTCCAACACTGGGAAACAATAATGGAGAAATAATTGACCGGGAACGAGTAGCATAAAATCCAGTGACACGTACAGCTGAAGTACATAAAATCTGAACCAGTTACAACACCAAATAGGCAAATGATAAAGATGTGCACGAACTGTGATAATATACAACAGAAATTGTGGCTTGTCAATGCCCAACAAATTGTTGATGCATGCTAAAACTGGAGCAGGTATGGAAGGAAATGGATTCAGTTCGAAACCATGATGCCTCCTTCGTCATTTTGCCATCCTTAAGGCCAAGTATAATGGATCTTCGTAAAGTAACCCAAGATTCACTGTTAACCATTTTCAATAGGATCTCTTTTCTTTACCCTTTTCTTCATCATCTCAGCCCACCTTGCAAAGACATTGGAGACTTCCAATTTACCAGAAAACTTCATCTTCTGCGCCAACTCCTCAAGAATATCAGGTTTTCCAGCTCTGGAGAAATCGGCTGCAAACTTATTTAAATCAAGCTGAGGAGGTTTCATTCCTTTCTCGACCATTTCCTCTAGATATTTACAGGCCTCTCCTGATCTTCCCTGCCTTATAAGACCTCCAATGAGAACAGTATATGAGTTGTCATCAGGGCAAAACCCCTTCTGAATCATCTCATCCCATACTGCACAACCCATATCATAATTTCTCGTCTGAAAATAAGACTTCATGAGCATGTTCAAAGTGTGTATTGACGGCTCAACGCCATTTTGAATCATCTTCTTGTATATCCGCACTGCATCATCTGGCATTCGCTGCTGCCTCGTCATCACTTTAATCAAGGCATTGTATGTCTGCCCATCAGGAGTGCAACCGGTTTCCTTCATCTCTTTCAACAATTCATAAACTGTTTCCATCTTCTTCTGATTTCCAAACCCTGTGATTAAGCACGTGTAAACCACAACATCTGGCTGGCACCCAGATTCTCGCATTTCATAAAAAGAGTCAACCGCTTCTTTCATCTTTTTTTGCTTGCAGAAATCTTGAATCAGAATACTATAGCTTCTAACGTTGGGAGATGGGCCCTTGGCTTTCATTACCTCAAACAACTTGATAGCATCAGACCTCTTGTGACCCCTCAACAACCCTCCGAGCATTGTATTATACGCAACAATATCAGGCTTAAATCCCTTGTCAACCATCTCATTCCACACCCTCCCTGCTTCCATTAAATTCTTTGAGCTACACCACCCGTTTAGCAGTACAGTATAAGTTTGTAAATTTGGTGTAAACCTCCCCTTCAACTTCTCGAAAAGCAATTGCATTTCTTTTCCTAGCTTTGCCCTTCCAAGAGTATCAAGCAAGCAATTAATAGTATCAATGCCAACCTTGAACTTGTAGTACTTCATCAATTCAAAAATGGCAACAGCTTTCTTCCTCTCCTTGGCAGCAGCAAAAGCTTTAAAAGCAATCACAAATGTTTCCATTGTCAAAAGCTCTTTCACTCCCATTTCTTCGAGCAGCGACACCATGGTCTCAAACTGCCTGGTCTTTCCTAAAATGCTCATCATCGAATTGTAAGTCCTAGAATCCTGCGAAAACCCTGGCTTCTGCCCCGCCCAACAGAAAAACCGAAAGGCGGGTTTTCTAGCATGCTGGAAGCGTTTCAACACCGCCACAACCAAATCATGGGACAACTGAATCCCACATTCATCAAGAACTGCTTCCATGTTCCGATCTAAGGCAAACAATTCGTCGATCACCTTGCATACCCTGTCGACCTCTTCCGGGTCTGCACTAGAACTAACATGAACACTCCCCCTCCTATCCTCGTCCTCACTATCAGTTTCAGCACCCGAATCCGAACCACCAGCGGTGGCACTAGAAAACCCCCTAAGCGTAGGACCACATTCAATGTCAACCACTGAAGTTGTAAAATTGGGGATTGTAGTGGGTGTAGTTAGCAATTTTTCTTGTAGAATAAAGAGTGAAGTGGGGTGTGGCAAAAGAAATGGAATTTGACAATGAGAATGATAGAGATAACAATGAGGAGAAGAATGAAGCAAACCAGACAGGGGCAGAGAGCAACCACCAGGAAGGCAGACTTGCTCTCGGCGGCAGTGCCGTCTTTCTCGTCCCTGATAGTAAGAGCATAGCTCGGCGGTGAAGCGGCGGCGTAGGTGGACATCTGAGAGTGGTGTTCTTGGGTGCGGTTGAGAGTAGAGTAGGTGGCTTTGGGCGGATGAGGGGGATCTTCTAAGAAAGAGGGTCATTGGGCAGCCATGAACGGACCTTCTAGTAGTTTCTGGTCGAACGAGATTTCAGCAGTCGAGAATCGAGATTCAAAGATGTGTGAAGAAAGAGGAAGGAGATGCAGGGTTTGTAGTTGCAGCAGGCCAGTAGCAAACGGCTGAACCTAACTGAGCGCAGCGAGCAACCACTGGTTGGTATATTGGGCCTGGCCCAATTTTACATTTCGTTATTGTTAACCTTTACTCCAACTTACAATTCGCAACTGTGCGAATATTATTTGCACTAAGAGGGTGAAGGAGTAGCTTACAACGGGTTATCAATAATGTGATTTAACTCTTGATCGTTGAATAAGTGAAAAATCAAGCATTCATAATTATTGATATACTTTGACTTTATAGCAATTAGATTAGACAACATACTTGTAATTGATCATTCGATCAATTTCATGTGCCTCTCTTCATTATTTGTTGATTGTGTTTGGAGATGAGAATGTGATTTTGTTTAAAATTACTACATTTTGGAGGGGATTTCATGTGCCCCTCTTCATTAAATTCGTTGTTTTCCATGTATGTGAGTTTCTATGACTGTTTTAGAAGTAGATTTACCATGTTTTGAAAAATGTAAGCCAAGCTAGAGTTATTCTATCTTATATGACTCGATTAGAAAATTTATTGTATGTAATTGTGTCTTATTGGAGCTCTGCATTTGTTTTTTTATTGCCAGCCAATGGATGCTCAAGTTGATTTGGTTTATGCTTTACGTGGAACTGAATTTGAGTCTGCTGAACTGCAGTGACAAAGGCGACTAATGGGATGGATACCGTTTTATCTGGTGATGCCTCAGCAAGGTTTAGCTTGTGTGAAGCTGAGAAGTTGCTCCTCAGGGAGTAAGTTTCTTGTACTTAATCCTACTGTACGCCTAAATATTTCGCAGTTGTGAATTGGGGATTGTTATGTCTAAATGCAATCCATTATTTTCCATTTTTAGTTACTGTTAATTTTGACTTTGAAGCTTGTTGTATGGCTAGAGGCATCGTATAATTCTATACTGACAGCATTTGTTACTGTATTTCTGTTTTGTGTATGACAGGGATGAAAAAAATAAAATTTTAGTACATTAATGTTTTCATGTAGATGCCCAATTTCATACATGTTTTGCTCAACTGCTCCGGTATGGAAACAGACAGCGCATGGATGCCAAAAGAAGATGACTTGGAGATGCAAATTATGATCCAAGAACTCTCTACTTCCTCCCGCATTCTTAAAGAGTTTATCAGGTGGCCAGGTAATTGCTTCTAGATAGATAAGTAGCCTAAAGGGTTTTAAGGCATTAACGATTATGAACACTCTTAATTTAGTGAGATGTTAATATTTCAGAGACAATGGTGGGAGTTTAAGTCAAAGCATATGGACAAAGTTCTCTTTTTCAAGGTATGCTCGTCCTTACCAGTAGCCAAGTAATGGCAAATTATGCTACACAAATTCAGGGTCATTATTGCAGGCAAATGAGGAACATCTCATTTTTGTTTGAGCAGATGGGCAAGTTTTATGAACTTTTTGAAATGGATGCACATATAGCAGCAAAAGAACTTGGTCTGCAGTCTATGAAGGTAATATATCTTGAAATTTTGTCTTGGTGTTGGCTGTTGTGACTTGTGGGTGGGCACATAACATTTTCTTTCATTTCACATTTTATCTCGATTGTTCTGAGATTTGTTTTGTTAGGATTGCTTTGGATGCACCCATTGTGCTTCCTATTTGTTTTTCTTTAGTTAGTGATTTTTCGTTGCCTAATATTAGGGTGAACAACCCCATTGTGGATTTCCGGAGAAGAACTTCTCAATGAATGTGGAGAAACTTGTTAGGAAGGTTGGTTTTACTCTTGTCACTTTATTTGGAGAAATCTTGCTTACTCTTTTTCGTTGAAGTTCAGCATCTATGTGAAGCCTCTTTCACACTATGGAGGGAGATTTATTTAAGCTGCCTTGACTGGCAGGGGTATCGAGTTCTGGTTGTGGAGCAGACAGAAACACCTGAACAGATGGATCTTCGTCGTAAAGAGGATGGCTCTAGAGATAAGGTATGCTCATCTTTCACTTGTGGGTATATATCCTTGAATATTTGTCATCTGATTAATTTGATATTCTATATTATAATTCTTAGCACTGCATGTTGTAATTTGATACCCGGATTGAAACTATCAATGAAAAAATGGTATTAACTTCTGAATTTACCTTGGTGTATAGGTTGTGAAATATGTGCAGTGGTTACAAAACGAACACTAACTGAGGGAGAGATGGTGTCAGCAAACCCTGATGCTTCTTATCTAATGGCAGTGACTGAAAATTCTCAGAATTTGGCAAACCAAACTGCAGAGCGCCTTTTTGGGGTGTGTGTAGTTGATGTTGCTACCAGCTGGGTCATTCTTGGGCAGGTGTGAGTCTGGTCGAACATCATTTTCATCTTGTTCTCTTAGTTTTCATGTATTATTCTCATAATCATAGACATATATGCACGCATGATACCGTTGTTCCCTGTACTGGGCTGGATTATCACTCAATAAAGCAGTGGGGAGAGGGAGGGGAGAGGGGTTTGGTAACCGCTTAGCATAATAGGTGAAAAATGTGTGCCTATTATGAATGTAAAAGGTCTGATAGTGTGATCTTCTGGTGCCTACTGGACTTCGTGGCTGTCTGCATTTCCCTTATTTTTTAAGATAATTGAGCATATATATAATCATTGGGGCAAATTGTGACTATGTTATTCCTAATTACCATTTCATAAGATGCTGATGTAGATGTATCATAAGGTCATTGTGGTGAATTGTTTGTTACATATGGATCTGTTTTTTTACTAGTATTGCTTTCCCAATACCAGTTTGAGATGATCTAGAGTGCAGTGCCTTGTCTTGTCTCCTGTCTGAGCTGAGGCCTGTTGAAATTGTAAAACCTGCAAAACTACTTAGTCCTGAAACAGAGAAAGTGCTGATAAGGCATACAAGAAGTCCTCTGGTGAATGAGTTAGTCCCACTATCAGAATTCTGGGATGCTGAGTGAACTATTCAGGAAGTTAGAAGTATATACAGGCGCGCCAATGATCAATTGGTTTATGGTTCTCCCAAGAATGCCAGTTTGCATGCCAGTGATTCTCATTTGGAAGAAGATGGCTATGGTTGCCTGCCAGAAGTGTTGTCAGAGATGGTGAGAGCAGGTGAGAATGGAATCAGTGTACCTCTTGGAGGCGCTCTTTTCTTTTTAAAACAGGCCTTCCTGGATGAGACATTACTCAGATTTGCAATATTTGGGTTCCAAGTTCTGGTTTTGGTGATACTGTATCAAAACCATACATGATTCTTGACTCAGCTGCCCTAGAGAACCTTGAGATTTTCGAGAACAACAGAAATGGAGACTCTTCAGGGTAAACCTTTCGTATTGTCGTTAGCTTTTCTGGTTCTTCAAATTCTTAGATGATGTAGCTCTATGAAGGACATTGTATGCACAGTTGAACCACTGTATTACTGGATTTGGGAATAGATTGCTTAGAACATGGCTTGCAAGACCTCTATATCATGCAGAGTTAATAAAGCAACGCCACAATGCTGTTTCAAGTCTTCGGGTACACATTATATCGACATTTTACTTCTGGTTCTTATTTTCTTCGCTTGAAAAACTGAATCTTAATGTACAGTATCTAGATGACTTGAACTGGATACCCAAGCACTTTGGCATTTCTAACATACAAATGTTATATATGCTTCTTTCTAGGGAGTTAATCTTCCTTATGCACTTGAATTTCGAAAAGCAATTTCTAGGCTTCTGGACATTGAGCGGTTGCTTGTGCATGTCTGCTCTAGTAGGTGAAGCTAGGAATAACAGTTGATTATATGCTTATGGAGAACTTACTGATGTTTCCAAAGATTGATTTACAGTAACTGAATGTGACTGGATGCAGTAATGCTTGCGGAAGGACTGCTAATAAAGTGGTTTTATATGAGGATGCTGCAAAAAAAAAAAGCTTCAGGAGTTTATTTCAGCTTTACGTGGTTGTGAACTCATGGCTCAAATCAAACATGCTGTTCTCTTAGAGTTATCTTGGAAAATGTTGAATCTGCACAACTGCATCATCTGCTAACACTGGGTATTGTTTTCTTTTTGCATTTATATTTGTATTATTTTAAAAGATATAGGTTGCTTTTTGCGTTTATATTAGTATTATTTCAAAAGATATTGTTTCTCATCTTATATCTTGCCATAAGAAAATTTTCGTGCCTTAAAGATTGTTTTTGGTATGCACGTGCATCTTTCATTGTTAAAGAAATCTTGGCATCCTATTGTTCATTGTTTTACAGGTAAAGGTCTTCCTGATGTTAACTCAGTTCTAAAACATTTCAAGGATGCCTTTGATTGGGTAGAAGCCAATAATTCAGGTCGTATAATACCTCATGAAGGAGTCGATATTGAGTACGACTCTGCTTGTGAAAAAGTAAAGGAGATAGAGTCTCATTTAGCAAAACACCTCCAAGAACAGAGAAAGTTACTTGGAGATAAATCGGTAAGAACTTCTATGGAAGACAAATTGGCATTTTGATTTCCCAGTAGTATACTTTTAAGTAGAAACTTTACAATCTCACATAACTTCGGTCTTCTGTTGTCTGTTGCAGATCACTTATGTCACAGTCGAAAAAGATTCTTACCTATTGGAAATGCCGGAAAGTCTGTGCAGCAGTATTCCTTCGGCTTATGAGTTACGTTCATCTAAAAAGGTAATTAGAAAAATCTTTGGAATGGTGCATAAGTAGCTTTAATGGTTTTATATTAATATGAACTTGCCTTCCTTGTGTTCAAACGTGCAGGGTTTCTCGAAGTACTGGACACCAGATATCAAGAAGTCATTGACAGAGCTCTCGCTAGCTGAAACTGATAAGGAGTCCTCGCTAAAAAGCATTTTGCCGAGGTTCATTGGACGTTTCAACGGTGGAGACAATTGGTCTCTGTGATTGCAGGTATGCAATCATTTTCCCTCTGCATTGGCTGGTTTCTTCTAATCGATTTTAGTCAAACTTCAGTGAATAGACTGGAGTCTGGAGCATATTTTTTCATTCGCATTTTCTTTTGGTAAGTGCATTCTGCTATGTTGTGCAATATAAGAGAACTAAGAACTTACACACACACACACACACACTCATACATAAGAGTACTGCCTGATTCCCCAAAAGATGTAGCTAAATATTGGTCCATTTTAAACAGATTTAACTATAGTTGATTTCTGAATAATTTGGGTTTAACAATTCTAAAAATGTATTTCAATTAACAAGTCCATGAATTCAGTAATTAGTGTCTATTTTATGTTCACTGCTGACATTGACCACACATGTTGCAGAAATCGATGTTTTTATCAGTCTAGCAATTGCAAGTGATTATTTTGAAGGACCCTCTTGTCAGCCAGTGGTCATGAGTTCATCATGTAGTAATGAAGTACCCCATTTTTCTGCAAAAAGTTTGGGACATCCTGTTCTTAGAAGTGATTCTTTAGGAAAGGGTCATTTGTTTCCAACGACATTGCCATTGGAGGTTCTGGCCATGCGAGCTTTATCCTTCTCACTGATCCTAACATGGGTGGAAAGTCTACTCTTATTCACCAAGTTTGCTTGGCTGTGATTTTAGCCCAGGTAATGTAGTCTTCTCTTATTGTCTGAATTTCTTACTTTCTTGTATTTATTGCCGTGTAATGTGTGATCATTTTTCTTCGGCAGTTAGGAGCAGATGTTCCTGCAGGGAGCTTTGAGCTATCTCCTGTCAACCGAATCTTTGTACGTATGGGTGCTAAAGATAATATCATGGTATACATTTCTGACGGAGCTATCAGAAACTGCAACAATGCTGGTGAGATTGCTATTTAGAGCAACTTGGTTCAAACTAGTTTAGTGTTATAAATGTATTGTTCTGATTTCCCGTGTTCATAAAAATAGATTGTGTGGGTTGAAAAAATTTCATCTGGTTCTAATCCTTGGTTATGATATGCATTTCTCTTGAAAATTCATAAATCATGTCTTCTCAACTTATTTCAATATTTAGTGCCATGACTCATGAGTGTAATGAGTATATCAGTTCACCGGGTTCTGAAATTCTTTCAAATTGTAGACGAAGGTGTTATGATTTAAGAAATTCATTGTGCTAAACATATATTTCAATATTGTTTGTAGTCATCAGCTACTCGTAATTCATTGGTGGCATTGGATGAACTTGGACGTGGAACATCAACTTCAGATGGACAAGCCATTGTGTAAGAGCCAATCATGCTAGATATTTGTGAATGATTTTGCCTTTACCCAAATCTTGTGTTTTTCATTCGTTTCCTCTTCAACTTTTGTATGTCCTCTTGAACTGGCAGGGAGTCAGTTCTTGAACATTTTATCTACAAGGTCCAGTGCCGAGGAACGTTTTCTACCCATTATCACCGACTAGCTGTAGATTATCAAAATAATTCTAAGGTATTTTTTTCATTCTTCTGTGGTTGATCTATATTTTCTTTTGACAAGATTGGTGATAAGATCATCTTGTACACCGATGCTATAAATTGAACTGTGTCTAATTTATTTCCTTGCTTCTTTGATAGGTTTCACTCTGTCATATGGCATGCCAAGTTGGAAATGGAGATGGAGGTGTGGAAGAAGTTACATTCCTTTACAGGATGAGTCCTGGTGCATGCCCTAAAAGCTATGGTGTGAACATTTCACGGTTAGCTGGTAGGGATCTTTGCCTTGTTTTGCTTCCTTACTAGCATCTTTAACACAAGAAGAGTAATTGAAATGCAATCATTTGGTTGTGAGGCATGATCTCGATCTGAGCCATCATCTCGCTGTCATCTATGGTTTTCTTCAACATGTATATAATCTATATTTAAAGCACCTTGCCCTCAATTAATATGAGCATGACCCGGAACTTTTTATGAGAACCAGACAAGCTTGCTAGTTTGCTAATTGTCTTACCAAGGGTTCCGGGAACGTGTAACTAAAAGGGACAAGTAGATATATAGAGCCTCAAGCCAGTTGGTTCTAGTTGGGGAGGATTGACCAACTCCTTAGCGTAGAAGCTATATCATCACCTGAATAGGGCAAATTGCTGTCGTCCATTGTAAATGATTGTTCAAGTGTCGACATATTGGTTCCGAATTTGGACCCAACGAGCTTTGAAGGTTGTTGCTTAGTTCGGTATTAGTGTGTAACATTATTATTTTATGATAAAAGTGAGTTGTATATGTTGGGTAGATGAGTTGTTAACCCTACTGAGTACTGACCAGTATCCAGGTTGCTGAATTCCTAAACATTAACCTACTTAATGCTTTTCATTATTTATTCTGGGTAGGTTTGGTGGGTGGTTTGGATTCCTTACTTTCAGGATTTGATTTGGAAACCTTAACCTGAATCTTTAACCAAGCAAAGAAACATAAAAAAAAAAAGAATCGATATTATTTCCTTTCGTATATACGTCAAGACAGATGGGCATGGATCATATGATGCTCTCTACTGTTTCTGTTTGTTACAAATTAATGGAAGTAAAAAAAAAAACAATTGGAGATTGTGTGTCAAACTGTTTGAGTTTCTTCATTGTCAGCCAGGTCTTCGCTATCGGTCTCATCTCCAGAGTCAGAGTCTTGCTGCTGATAACGACGATATCGATGATACTGGTGGTGGATGCTGTTTTGGATGGCTGTGATTGTTCGAAATAATACGTACATTGGCAGGATAATCCCGCTAGACCTTAGAATAAGCACCTGAAACGCGGCCAAATCAAGATTAACAAGTACATTTCAGCAGGAAGCTTTGCACACCAAAATAACAATGTGGTAGGTACTGTGCTGGTAGTAGTACTGGTACTTACAGTTAGAAGCGTGAAGGGGTAATCTTCGTCGGTACCGGTAATCACCACAAAGAGATGCCTCACCAGCAACACCACCGTAAACTGCAATGCAATTCAAACTCATGGTTAAGTAACAGAGTTAAAGCATGTTTCTTTCGACAGGATTTTAATTAACATTTTTTTTAATATACTGAAGGTCAAAGATGAGCTACGTGTTTGCCAAATGGTGACAAATTTGAATTCATCTCTCTACAGTTTTAGATTAATTTAAAATGGATCATCGCTAATATAAAAAATAAAAAAAATAAAAAAAATGCTCCTTTTAGACTATTATATTGGGTTAGATAACGTGCATAAAGATGTGGAGAAAACAAACTTACAAGGAGAGCGAGAGATCGACAATAAGATGCACTTCTGTCAGCCGCAGACGAGCATTGAGACGCAGAGTAGCCATATCTTGGGCTTCCTGCGCCCTCCTCTTCCTCTTGCTCTCTTCTCGGAACCTGCACGCTATCTCTGCAACCAAATAAACAATTACATATTTAAAATAATTCAAATCAAATCAAGGACATGCGCAATTTAGAAACATTCCAATTAGTGGTCTTAATCACTTTCCCATGTTGTTAATACACCATTAGAATTTAGACCTACTTGCAAAACTGTCTGTCTGCCTCCTTCTTCAACTATATATTAACATCAATATGGAAATAAACATGCATTTGATTAATTATATAGAAAAATGAAAATTAAAGAAATAATTAAATATCGTAAAGCAACGAATGCGGATATATATCTAATTCTGGATACTTAAGAAGATATAAGACGTACCTAATTGTTACTGCTGAGTCATCTATCTGCGTCTTTTTTGGCGGTGGTGCTGTGTATCCTGGTTCATAGCTCTGCACATATACATATTTTACGGTCAGTCAAACTTCATCGACACCATTTTTTTTCTCTTCCAATTTAAATTTTGTTATTATTAGCACTTTTAAAAAATCATAATGCACTTGTTTGTTATAAAAACACAAGCAAAAATTACTGATGATATGTAATGATTTTTTTAGAATGCCAATAACATCTCCTACTACAACACTCAGGACTACGATATTAATCATGAAACGTTTTATTTAGTTTTGCATCGGAACGAAGGAAGCAAAGAGTATAACCATAACTAACCCAGACAAAAAGAAAGACTTTGAACATAAACCAAAGTTACGGGAAAAAGACAAATTTTAAACGCCAAGAATCCTCATCGACTTGAAAAAGAACAAAAAAAAAAAGGACATCGGACCCATTTCGATTTTTCAAGACTGATGAGATACGTAAACACGAAGCAAAACAGCAAAAACAATTCATTTAATACATAACACAAAATAAAATACGGAACAAAAAATGAAAAATTCGAAAGAACCCAGAGATACGAAATCTGATCAGCTGAATATTACCTGGAGACATATTTCGCAGGTCGTATTGCCTTTCTCGTTGCACCACCTCTGTATGCAATCTCTGTGTGCAAACTGAGAGAAAAAAAAAAAAAAAAAAAAAAAAAACAGAATTTATAAATCGTTTGCAGGATTTTTCGGAAACGGAAGCAGAAAAGCAAGAGAGGAAGATGAGAGAAAACTGGGTTTTGAGGTGTACCTTAACAGTTCCAGAGCATGCACAGGGAGCTTCCATGGTCTTATGATCGGAGCTTCCGAATTCTTCTTCATGGCAAATCCTGCAGAGCGAAACTGCCGAGCATGAATCCTCCTCCACGTACAGTATCACGTCTCCCATATTTTTCAATAAACTCCCTCAATTGCCCTCTTTCTCTTTCTGTTTCGGTGTTGTCTGTTGTTGAAAAACTTGTCTTTATTTCGAAAAACTTCTCTTTAATTCAAAAAACTGTCTCTGTGTGCCTGTGTTTTGTTTGTGTCCAGTTCTTTCTCTCTACGCGTGTCCGAAAAATTGGACTTTATATAAAGCAAAGGTAACCGAAATTCCAAAAATGCCCCGCACTTATCTATATCTAAATCAAACGAATATTCACTTAATTAACTAGTAATACTGTTATTCGTTGTATTGCCCTGAGTCCTGACGCGTCATATACATATATGGATGCAGGACTTGACCAGCGCGGTCAAAGACACTTCAATTTATACCAAATTTAGAACGTTTAGAAGAAGCATTTGTATAAGAAAAGGGAACAGCTCGTCAATTGAATCTAATAGCTCTAAGTGACAGTAATTCAAAACTCTGCATCACCCGAAAATAAGAGCTCGTATTTTCAGTTTGACTCGTTTTGAGTCGGAAGACTTCTGATCAAGTTTTTTGGATGAGTTTGTTTTCATGTTATGTTTATTGTGGTAATGCTCTAACTTTGTAAGGTAACAAATTAAAATACTAAATGTTTGGTGGGTTTGGAAATTGTCTGAAATGAAATAGATTCAAAGATTTGAGTGGTTCATTCCTCAAAACTCGACTACACTCACTGTATTGGTCAGATTATATTGATTTCAAGACTAAAAATGGCGCTCAACTAATACATGAATTCTCTTTCCTTTCAGTTGTTCGACCCCAATACAAGAGGTCTCGCCCCATTATGTAGGCCCTCAATGAACTCCCCATCCTTGGATTTTCCCAACCCGGCATTTAATACGCCACTAATACGTAGGCTAGCGTACTGACACCTTTTCACCTATTAGCTAGGTATTGCCGATGAAGTGACAGGTGCCCAGTTGAAAATGACACGCTTTTCTAGATGATGTGTACGGAGCGTCTTGCTCGGTCTTGGTTATCCAACCTTGTCTCTCTAATCGCTGGTCTGACCACGTTTACGTCCCATCCTAGGCCTATGTCACTGACTATGAATCGTCACGTGGCCTGATTGACGTTTGGATAGACTTGTTTCTAGACATTTGTGTCATTAAGTTGTTAGTATGCCCATGTGCCTCTTGTGGTCGAAAAACACTTTACATATCCTAGTCTGACTAAGTTCATAAACGGTCGGCTTCTTGATCTCCCTTAGACTTTTCGCAGCTTCTTTCCCGGCTTGCACCATTAGGTTAAGCAATGACACCTCTTTTAGTTTTTGGTGTAATTTTTAAGTAAAAAAGTTGTTTGGATTAGTAAATATGCTTGAAATATGGATCTACTCTATTTATTATCCACATATGCATTTCTACTGTAAAATAGTAAAAGATTGAATTGGATAACTGATCCTAAATTCTTATATGAATTCTGAAATCCCAAAAAGAAGGGAAAAATTAAAAGAAAAATTGCTGATTATTTGATATGTGATATTTGTAATTTGCATAATTTTGGGGGAGAGAGGGGCAATGCCGTCAGGTTAAATGTATAATTTGATTGGGAAACAGTTGCCAAATAAGTAGTAGGGATTCCTAATCGTCTATTATTGGGTTAGGACACTATTTTCCTTCCCGTCCGTGTCCAATTCGAATTCCTACCTATCCTGTCCCTGCCACCTTTGAATTTTGAGCGTGAGATCGTTGATCAACGGTCGAAAAAAACTGAACAAACTAAAATTTAAACTTGAATGGTCCCCACTGCGGCTATATGATTAGACGGCCAAGAAACACGCTCACCGAAACCCAAGTCCAAAAACGCATGAGCACGGACCCGTGAGTGTCATTCGGCGGAGCTGCTTCTTCGAATGCTCCTTGCTGCACCTCATATTCCTCTCCTTTTTTTCAATTGTGTCAGGCTTTTTGGTTATATTTTTCTTCATTTACAAGGTTATTTTTTTATCAAAATTATGTAAACTGTAAATTAGCAAACATGGACTTTTTAATTAAAATATGTAAATTGTTGTACTAACAACGATAATATACTTAATTAATGGAAATTAAAGAAAAAATAATATTGTGAGAGTGAGACATAAGAATGGTGGACTGGTGACATTTGTTCTTATCCGTCTTTTTGGAGTTATCTAATCACAAAGCAACAAATGGCATGTAGATATTAGATATTTGGAATAATGGGAAACAGGGGATCAATACATATCCACATAGTATGGACCTACAACTGTTTGAAGGTTTTGAGGCAAGTGGTCGGCACTTTGTGGTGGGGACATTTGGAGCCAACCATATACAATACAATACCGACCTCTTTCTTTCTCTACTCGAAGAAGTCGAGCCCAGAATGTTCGACAAGTTCGTCTTTGGCAGCAGCTAATCACATTCATTGAATTGTTAATAAGTACTTATTTAATTTTGTTTAATTTGCTATCATCAAAATATAGAAGTGAGTTTGGTAACGATACTAATGGTTTAAGATCAAATTAGACTAAATAGATCTTAATAGATACTTATAAACAACTCAATAAATTAATTTGTCGCCTCTAGCGTTCACATCGTCACCCTGCAACCTTATATGGGAATTTGAGGTTCCAAAAGCAAAGCAAAGAAGCCAAGCAAACAGTTATAAGCAAATTTAAAGTAACAAAAAAAAATGTTGTGGTATGATAAGACGGAATAAATGCTCAGATGAAACACTAAATAATATCAAATTTGGTATAAAATTTTGTAGCATATTATCCTAGATTCATTTATCTACACCACAGCACAAAAGGAGGAATCCAAACACCTCATAACCAAAATCCAATTTCACTCAATATGCGTTAGCTTATATGTAACAAAATTCTCTTTTTAACAAACATAATAAATTTGATACGTGCTTAAATCTCCACACTTAAACGACAAATTAAACAACCAATAGTACAAAGGAGCACAAGATGGAGGAAAAGAGTTTATTTCCCTAATAAATTTATAAAGCGATATATGAGATTACAAAGGCTATGCTGTACGTAACAAGTAACAACCTTATTTCATTGTTGAACTGAAACATAGTATCATAAGAAGCCACTAGAGTTCATATTTGGCTGCCGTCTTTTAATTTTGGTAAAACAAAGGAAATAAATGGGCGAGGGAAAGCCACTAGGAAAGCCCAATTTTATGTGGCAGGATTGGGCATATATTGGGCCGGGCCATATTCAACTGTTAGAGGTAGGCTGGGAAAGCGTGAGACTTGAGAATACCTACCTTGAGCATCAAGATTGAAAGTATTCTAACAAGTTTCCAAAATTGAAATGGAAGATAGTAAGAATAATACTAATATTATGGCTTATATTTGGCGACCACTCGTTACCGGATGAGGAGATGATGATGGATTGGAGTGGAGAGGTGCTTTAGCTTTTAAGAAATATCAAGCTGCACAAGCAACGGCAACAGCAACAGATTTGGACGACTTAAAACGACATGGATTGGAATTGCTGAAGCTATTCATTCCTTCCTTCACTTGACTTGCCTTATGGATCAGGTTGACAAACGTGACGCTTTCCAAGTTAGATATTCTCCACACCTGTCCCGAGTCCTACCTCTCTATAGCTGGTCCCTCATCTACTGCTAAAAGTTCTAGTATTAAATTTGGATTTGATGGAATCTAATCTAAATTATTTCATATATAAATATCCCGCTACGTAACTGAAAATGCTATGGAGTATACTACTAGATTTTTTAACCGTTAGACATTGATTGATGTACTTGTGGTCGATAATCTAACTATTAAAAACTCCAAAATGAGAAATCTTGTAAGTAATTTACCCCAACACAACATATTGAGAAGTGACTTATTCTGCAAATCAAAACTACTTGTCGTTAGAAAGTGCATCTTTTGCCTTTACACATTTTCAGCTTTCTATACTGTTACTATAGAAACAAGTAGAAGATATTATTTGTTTTTTTTGGTATGTACGCCAAGATGTCCTAAATATCTGTTATGCTTATCATAGCATATTCTGGCGGGCGGAATGCATGTGAATTATTGGAGAGTAATATATTATACGGTATACCTTACCTTATGATTGATTGTAACATGTGTGGTTTGGTGGGCTGAAAAAATTCAAAATTTAATCAGCATCCACTTACGCTTTCCTCAGCAAAGATGTTGACCCAGTGGCACAAGGTAATACTACAATTCGGTCAATAAATATCTAGTTGAAGAATGACTATATATGTCATTTAACACTCTGCCACATGACCATGTTAAACGCAGTAACAATGTACTATTGACTTAAGATTCCGTCACACAGAGCTAGTACTAGTTCAAACCGTTTCCTTTGCAAACTGGTTTAATTTGTTAGTCTAAAGCCACTACAGTATAATTTGGCCACTATTTCCAATCCCAGATGAGATGGACCAGTTGTTTTTACTGTCTGCATATCTAGTTAATGAAATGTAATGTAATCCCACAGCTGAACCAAAAACTAGAAACCATCAAAAACCACGGCACAAGTGAAGTGGCCGCTATATATATTTGCGTTCGGGTTTGTGTTATCGATATCTTGAGGCCTCAAAGCTTTCCCAATACCACATACGTGCACCAAAGTTCTTCAGGGCAAAACTCAGCAATTTTTATTGAATGGAGGCCGAAAACATGAGGAGCAGAGAGCACAAAATTGTGGTGGCAGTAGACGAGAGCGAAGAGAGCATGCATGCTCTCTCCTGGTGTCTGGGAAACCTCTCCTCTCAAAACGCAAACAACACTCTCGTTCTTCTCTATGTCAAACCGCAGCCAGTCCATTCCACTTTCGATGCTGCAGGTAATTAACGTTCCCTTACAAATTACAACTAATTACATACTTTTTAGTTTCTAATTTTGGACCTGATTAATCAATTTGGAATACTGAAATGGAAATATTGATTTGGAGTTGATGTGCGTGTACTTGATATTTCAGCATATATGTTTTCGAACGATGTGGTTGGATCCATGGAAAAATACGGGACTAAGATGGTAAATTCAGTGATGCAAAGAGCTGAAGCCGTTTACAGAAATTTCCAGACCAATGTAATTACTGATTAATTAATTAGACTCTGCTATATGTGTGTGTTTTCTGCAATTGTTTTAGACTTTAATTTGTGTTTTTCAATTACTTAAAGTTAATTGTAAGTTGGTTAATTAATTAATTTATGTTCTGCATGCTTGCAGGCGCATATTGTGAGAGTAGTAGGGAAGGGAGATCCAAAGAATGTGATATGTAATACGGTTGAGAAACTCAAAGCTGACACTTTGGTCATGGGAAGCCATGGTTATGGTTTCTTTAAGAGGTATTATTAATTCATTCACATCAACTAATTATCTGAATTTGTTTATTTTTAATAGATATAAGTAATTACATCTGATATCTTGTTATAATTTTGATATTTTGTTGCAGGACTCTTCTTGGAAGTGTGAGTGATTATTGCGCGAAACACGTAGATTGTCCTGTGGTGATTGTGAAGAAATCCTGATCAGCGAAAATAATAGATCGACGTCTATGATCATAATCAATTTCTAAATTAACTAAAGGCAAATGAATGGGGTTTGGGGGTGGGAAGGGAAGAGGGATCGGATTTCACAAATGTATGCATTTGTCAATTCACTCCACAGATGAATCGTTGAAAAAAAATTGAAGAGAAGATGAAAATGAATTATAAGAAAAGATTTCTGTAACTTGTACCTGCCATGTCCTCAATATATATGTATGATCATGATTTGTGGTTAATTATGAATTCTATCTCTGTCCCTTGAAGCCTAGTAGGACAAATGATCAAAGTGCTGAACAAGAATTGAAGGAAATTTTAAAGAAGCTAATACCTAAATATGAAGGCTGGCTAATTAAGTAGCTCTTGTAAAGGTAAAAGAGTTTTCTATCGATAAAAGGAAAAATTTTGTGAGGAATTATGATACAACCCCAACAGAATTGATCAATTGTGACAAGATTCACAATTCTGCCGGCCCAAACGAAGCATGCACCTCAACTTCAATTATAAGTCAATATTGCATGTGCTTATAAGTTTATGGTACAATCTCAACTATCCTCACAACTACCACACTCAAATTTCATAACAGTATCAGAAGTGTTTCGTTAAAACTCTCATTTAACTAAGCTCTAACATACGCCAAAAAATACAAGTACGAGTATGTTAGGGTCCATCACTGATTCACCAAGCAAAACTAATGGAACGTGTGAAATAGATTTACAGCGAAACCCCGCCTATCTACATAGTATATTTTAATTAATTAATTAGAGACTGACCAGTTACCAGTTATGAAATTTGAGCGTGGTCTATTTGCCTCTCTCTCTCTCTCTCTAGCCATTCCAGCCAAAAACCCAACCAAACCCTAGTTTTTCCCCATCACCGCCGGCCTCTGGCTATGGCTGAAGGCCGGTGGCAGCCTCTCCCTTTCTTTCCCTAGCTCTTCCTTCCTTCCTCTTTCCCCTCATCCCCATCTCAGCCATCCTCCACCCTTCACCACAATCGACTTTTCCCACCATCTCTCAGGTTTGTGATGGTGTTACGACGTTTACGGTGGCTCTGGCTAGAACCCTTTCCTCCCCACCTCTCTCAGGTCGTCCCGGCTACAGTTGGCATCGCTCTCCTCCCGACATTTCTGCATGTGCCTCGGGCTTTGCTCCCCACGCCTTCTGGCAACTTGCAGCTGCAAAACCTGTTTCTTTTGTTTTTTAAGTTTAGTTATCTATTACTGGTATGTTGTTTCGGCCTTTGTGTCGCTTATGCGAATTTTTTTGTAGCCTCTCGTGTAGGTTTTTGTATTGCGTATGTGGTGAATTTGTGTGATGGCTGTATAGGGTCTTTCAAATCATTTGTATTTGTGCTTATTACTTTCAGATCAAGAAATTAATCACTGAAGTATACGTACTCATATGACATCTTTGTAAGTGTTCATTTATGTTAATGAAATACTATCGTTTCTTCAAAAAAAAAAAAAAAAAAAAAAAAAAAACCTTGTAGAGCGAGCGGAGAATGAATTAGAATTAGGGATCGCAGACTCAGTGAACTCTCGTCGGAGGCCTTGATCCGATAAGGCTTTTATTGCCGTAGATCCGAACTCGACTCGATCCATTTCGTTCCGATACGGCGTCAGTGTCAGCATCACCGTCACCGTCAGTAGCAGCAGCATGTTTCTGTTCGACTGGTTCTACGGTGTGCTCGCGTCCCTCGGTCTCTGGCAGAAAGAGGCCAAGATCTTGTTCCTCGGCCTCGATAACGCCGGCAAGACCACCTTGCTCCACATGTTGAAAGACGAGGTCGGTTCCTTCCTCCGGCCCCCCTTTTCTTATCTCTGTCAGCTATTCATTTTCGAATTTTGTGCTTTAATTTCCTTATCGATTGGCTCCTACTTCGGATTCGAGGAATCAGAAATGTTCCGTTTACTTCAATTTCAATCTTTTGAATTCATTGATTAGATTAAATTTTCGTCTCCAAAGTTGAAGACTGAGGATTGAGGAAAAGAATTGGAATTTGGGAGTTAGATTCACAAGAGAAGGGGTTAAATTAACAAGTGTTGGAACTCGGAACTGAGGTCAAAGTTGATCATTTAAACTTAATGGGAAAGCCCCCAAATCAAATCACCGGATTCAAGTTTTTTTCCCGAACCTTTAGCTTTAGAAGTCAAAACTGAAGCAAGTACACTAATCCGCGGTTGTTTTTATCTGTGTGCAGTTTGGTGATTGCTTTGATTATTAGGATGTTTGCAAGTGTATTGTTGTCATGTGTGGTAACAATTTGAGTTTTGTTGCACTCGTTTTCAGAGACTGGTGCAGCACCAGCCCACGCAGTATCCAACATCGGAGGAGTTGAGCATTGGGAAAATCAAGTTCAAGGCCTTTGATTTGGGAGGTCATCAGATTGCTCGCAGAGTTTGGAGGGATTACTATGCAAAGGTTAGATATACATAAAGCTTGATTAACGGCCACACTTTTGCTTTGTTCTCATACCTCTGCGGAGTTCTTTGCCATTGTCTTTTCCTGGACCTAAACCTGCTTGCGAGAGGTTTCACTCTTTCCATAGTTCAGAAATTCATGGTTTAATGCATCGTTTCTGGTCTGCTTATTCCTGTCCCTTGAGAAAGTCTGGTTTTCTCACTTCTTGAATTTTTTGTTTACTACCTGTATTGGTGTGGTTGCTTTCAAGAATTTATTTTCCCTTTATCTTGGAAGCAATGTGTTGTTGTCGTCCTGGACTCCTGGTTGTGTGCGTTCTCTGCTTGATACAACCTTTTTTTTTTTTTTTTTTTTTTGGGTGTGTGTAAATTTGAATCAAGCCTTCTAATGTATGAAATATGTGTAAATGTTTAGTGTTTACGTTGGATCTTCTGTGCACTGCATATGAGTTGTGCCTAACACTATAGAACCTAGTTCCTCTGGCCTTTTATGAATGTTTAAGTTTGAATTTATATTTTTTTGTCTTATTATCGTCCATTATATGCTGTGTTTGAACTTTCATCAGCAATGTAAAGGCTCCAACATTAGCTAATCATAGCTACATGATTTGAGGTGTTTACAGGTGGATGCTGTGGTGTACCTGGTGGATGCCTATGACAAGGCGCGGTTTGCAGAATCCAATAAGGAACTAGATGCACTCCTTTCGGATGAAGCCCTAGCCACTGTCCCATTTCTAATTCTAGGGAACAAGATTGACCTACCACATGCTGCCTCGGAGGATGAGTTGCGATATCACCTTGGGCTGACCAACTTCACCACTGGCAAGGGGAATGTAAACCTAACGGACTCAAGTGTCCGTCCGCTAGAAGTGTTTATGTGCAGCATTGTACGGAAAATGGGGTACGGCGATGGTTTCAAATGGCTCTCTCAATACATCAAGTAGGAGGATGGTCGACAAGGTGTACTACCACTTGTCGCGCCTTAAGTTGAAAATTTATTCAGTCTCCCTTGTTTTATTTAGGCTCTTTCTTTGTCTTGGGATTTGTGTAGAAGGAAATATGAATGTCACTGCTTTGTTAAATTTTTATTTGGGTTATTATACAAAATGATCCCTGAGATTTGCATGATCAATATAAATGGTCCCTGAGATTGTTCACCATCCATGATTTTGGTCATTCCGTTAAAAACGATTTTGGGCAATTTTCAAAGCTTTGTAATTCAATTGTTTCTTAATCAAATTCGACCCATAATATATCAAAATGAAGATAGGAAAGTGTAGAATAAGATTATACATATTTGGAAGCCCAATGGTTGCTAGGGATGGCCGGAAAATAGCCTGAAAGGTGACTGGTCTGCGGGAAAACTGACAAACTCTCCGGAAACTGGGTAAATTTTAAACATTCATAACTTTTTCAATACTCAACCAAATCAAGTGATTCAAAAACGAAAATAATACTTCTTGACGAAACGAAGAGAATGATACCTTTTTCAAAGGCTAACTCGCTGTGGTTTGGGACAACGGCTCGAAAGTGGCTAACCATTTTCGAGTTAGCCACTTTCAAGCAGTTTTCCGGCCAAACCACGGCGAGTTAGCAGTAAAGAAGATACCATTCTCTTCATCTCGTCGAGAAGTATGATTTTCATTTTTGAATCAATCGATTTCGTTGAGTATTGAAGAAGTTATGAACGTTTAAAGTTTACCTAGTTTCCGGCGAGTTTTCCAAGTTTCCCGCGGACCAGTCACCTTTCAGGCTATTTTCCGGCCATCTCCAGCAATCATTGGGCTTCCAAATGGTATAATCTTGTTGTATACTTTCTTATCTTCATTTTGATATAGTATGGGTCGAATTTGGTTAAGAATCGATTGAGTTACGAAGCTTCGAAAATTGCCCAAAGAGTTTTTAACGGAATAACCAAAATCATGGATGGTGGACAATCTCAGGGACCATTTCTATTGATCATGCAAATCTCAGGGACCATTTTGTATAATAACCCTTTTTATTTTAGAGCAAGAAAGTAGAACATTATATGCTCGTCTTATTTGGTTTGTAATAACAATATAGCTCACAATTTTTGTGAAAAATGGAACCGTAAAAGTACGCAAGAGCATTTAAGCAAGCATAAGTAAACTGATCTAAGCCCTATGGAGCTGGAGCTGGAGCTGGAGCTGGAGCTGGTCGTATCATTATTAAGTCCCAAAGTCATATTACTAATATTCCAAGCCAAAGAAATAGAAAAATCAACCAAAAAAAAAACAAAAAAGGTATTAGCAGAGATCAAAAGTGATTTTCCATAAGCTTTGACGGACGAAAACGAGTCGCAATTAAATTAGTTGTAAATAGATTTAGTTAGTTAACAACTTAACATAGTTACAGTTGAACCGACGACCCTCGATCTCCCTTATTTAATATAGGTCAACTATATGTCCGTCACCAAGATGGAGTTGGTTAACCAACATATGAACCTATCCTATCCTTTCCAAGCTAAGCTAAGCTAAGAAGAATCCCACTATATAAAATGTGAGTAAACCCCAGAATTTGTTCAACTCCTCGTCAAATCCTGGTTTGCTTTTGAGCCCTTAATAATTACCTCATCATCATGGGCAATTCCATCTCCAGCAAGCAATCCCATGCCACCGGAAAAGTCATAGTATCCAACGGCTCTGTGCATGAGTTCAATCACCCCATCACCGTCGCTGAGCTCATGCTAGAAAACCCGCAGCAAGTCGTCGTGGAATTCGGTTCTGCTGTCCCCGAAAAAAGGGCAACCCCGTTGCCTGCAGACATGCAGCTCGACATGAAAAAGGTTTACTTAATGCTGCCAATGAAGCGAGGGAAACCAGTGCCGTTGTCATCCGAAGAAATCCGTGGTGTTCTTTTAAGTGGAAATTTGGTTTTACAATCGAGGTCGCCAAGGTTTTTACCTTTGTTCGCTAGAATATGCCTGGCAGGTGATCCCGGGCAAGCTTTCGTGTTGCCAAACAAGGACAGGGAATATAGTATGGAGAGGACGTCGTCCAAGGTCATGAGCAGGTATGTGCCGGAGTATGATCTGCCGGAAGATTTGGACTCGAGACCAAACTATTTGAGTAGGCAGCTTTCGGGCAAGGGTACTTGGAAACCGAACTTGGATACCATTAAGGAGAAGAAGGTTGACAAGAAGAAGCCTCATTGGTTATTTTCAACTTAAATTAAGAAGAATGTCGTTGATTATGATTGATGTAATGTGAGATTAATTGTATGTGAACCATATATGTATTAAAGCTTAATCCAAAGAGATATATTAGTGTAAAATTACCTGTTCATCAACTAGCTACTACTGTTGATTTCAGTTTCGTTTGGGTCTTGAATGAATTGGATGTATTTTGATAATATAGAGTTTACTCTTCAATCTTCATACAAAAGATTGCGAGAATATTTATGTTCAATTGTTATGTGTACAACAAATCATTTTCAATATTCATTAAATTAGATTAGCGACGAGATTTAAGAAATTAATTGAGAGAGAGATGACGACCCTTATAGGGAAGATGAAACAAGAATAATCCAAGATATCTAGCTAAAAATGTAAGGAACAAGATGAAAAATCATAAAACTAGAATCTATGAAAATTAAAATTACTTAATGGGCCTATCAATGGCATTGGGGGAGACTTGGGAAGCAAGCAAGGGGAAAAAGCTCACACGTGGACCGCCCGGGATGCCAATCGGATTGGAGCCATTGGAATTTGGGGCAAGCAAGCGATTGGTTTGGTTTCAAAACCTAAAACATAAGGTAAATACATGCAAGGAAGAAGAAGTAGAAGATCCCATGGCAGTTTCATTTATCCTATCACTACTGCTCTCCAACTTAAAGAGTAAATTGGTATTAGCAATTATAAATATTTTGTTTCATATATTAAGCAAAACAAGAAGGGGTTCAATAGTTACAAACTCTTGAGCAATGTGTTGTCATATCTTAAGATATCATAAGAAAACACTCTTAAATTTTTTTTCACAGCAATTTGTTTCTTATTGAAACATTGTCTGACTAATAAAAAAGTAGTTGGACATGAATAATGTATTTCCAAATCAATTAGAAAACTGTGAGTTATAACTCATAGTTTTTGTGAAAAATTTGAAATTTTTAGCTTTAAAAATATTTTATATCATTGTTAAGGAAAATATTGCAAGACTTTTGGACATGATCTTACCATTTATTAGGTCCCGGAACTATTTTTCTTGATTTTTAAAGTTGAAAAATAGAAAAGTATCTTTAAATTTAGGTTTTAAATTGTTGATTTCAAGTGTTTAAATGGAAAAATATATCTTGAAGAACATGAATATGATAATTTGTTGTTATGGTAAGAGAAATAAAAGAAAAAAAAACTGAAAAAGAAAAAAGAAATTGAAAAGGGGGATTGGGGCCTCCAAAGAGATTTGTAGGTGTCCGAAATCTTGGGAATGTCCTAAATTAATTTTAGGAAACATGTGGTGTGAGTAGAATGACTCTAACTTTGGCTTATAACAAACGTTGTAAAAGTTCTTAAAATCGATTAGAAACATGGGTTATATAACTCACAATTTTTTAAATTTTTAGTTTTAGGAAATATTTTGCATGGGAATTAATGAAAATGTTGCAAGACCTTTGGATGTGATTTTATCCTTTATTAGGTCCTGAAACTATCTTTCATTGATTTTTATAGTTGAAAGTATGAAAAATAATGGCGGGGCCCCCAAAGAGATTTGTAGTTGTCCGAAATCTTGGGAGTTACGTCCTAAATTAATTTTAGGAAACATGTGGAGTGAGTAGAATAACTCTAACTTTGATTTATAATGAAAGTTGTAAAAGTTCTCAAAATCAATTGAAAAATGTGGGTTATAACTCACAATTTTTGTGAAAAAATTGAAATTTTTTAGTTTTAAGAAATATTTTGCTAGGAAATAACATAAATGTTGCAAGACTTTTGGATGTGAATTTATCTTTTATTAGGTCCTGAAACTATTTTTCATTGATTTTTAAAGTTGAAAATAGAAAAATAATGAAAAATAATAGTGGGCCCCTGAAGAGATTTGTAGGTGTCCGAAATCCTGGGAATGCCCTAAATTAATTTTAGGAAACATGTGGTGCGGGTATAATGACTCTAACTTTGGCTTATAATGAATGCTATAAAAGTTCTCAAAATCGATTGGAAAACTGTGGATTATAACTCACAATTTTTGTGAAAAAAAAAATTGAAATTTACAGCTTTAGGAAATATTTTGCATCATAGTTAAGGAATATATTGCCAGATATTTGGACGTGATCGTACCGTTTATTATGTGACATCCCACATCGCCCAGGGGAGTGATCCTTAAATGTATATTCCCATCCCTATCTAGCACGAGGCCTTTTGGGAGCTCACTGGCTTCGGGTTCTGTAGGAACTCCGAAGTTAAGCGAGAAGGGGGCTAGAGCAATCCCATGATGGGTGACCCACTGGGAAGTTGCTCGTGAGTTCCCGAAAACAAAACCGTGAGGGAATGGTAAGCCCAAAGCGGACAATATCGTGCTACGGTGGTGGAGCGGGCCCGGGAAGTGATCCGCCCCGGGCCGGGATGTGACATATTAGGTCTCAGAACTATTTTTTTTATTGATTTTTAAAGTTGAAAATAGAAAGAAAAAAACTTTAAATTTAGGTTTTAAATCATTGATTTCAAGTGTTTAAATATGAATTGTAATAGATTTTGCATGGAAAAATATATTTGAAGAAGATGAATATGATAGTTTGTTATTATGGTAAGAGAAATAAAAGAAAAAAAAGAAAAAAAATAACTGAAAAAGAAAAAAAAAATATTGAAAAGGGAGGATCGGTTTAAAGGTTGTGACTTAATTTGAGAATAGTCGATGGTTTCCTAGCAACATCCCTCTAGGAGGCCCGGTAGCAAAGTAACGATCATGCTCTTTTCTATTTTTTTTATGTGTGAAATGTCGATTTAGTCCTTGAATTATCACTTTAGTGAAAATTAGGTCCCTAACCTATTTATTCAGAAAAATCAGTCATTAAATTATAAAAATCTACCAATTTCCGTCAATTCAAGTTGCGTGACTTGCATGTGATACAC